GGCTGATTCCGTCTGCACGAACGCGATGCGCGTACTTATTTTTTAAATCAGAGTGTTTATTATCCTGTGCTTGTGATTTGTTTGTTTTTACATCACTTTTGTGAGAAGTGATTCTGCTGTGTAATGTACTAGAAGTTTCTCCGATATAAACATTATCACAGTCTTACCAAGGTATTTTATACACCACTTTAGAACTTTCCTTGGTTGTTAGAGGATCTTTAGATGTTTAGAGGTTTTAGTGTATAAATGTGCTATAGTTTTAACATTTTTAGTGACAATTTTTATGTTTTTTAATCCTTTAAATAATTTGAAAAGTTTCGGTGTTAAAAATAGAGTATAAGGTAAATGGCTGTATATGGTATACAGCCAGCTACAGGAACTTGGTTGCCTAATGGATTTTTATAAGGTAAAGATCCAAAAGTTTGTAGTGTTGTTGGTATTTAAGGGGTTGACTGTCAGTCTATTGTTTATTTCATGATTTGCCGTTTTTACTGTAATTTGTTTTTCATTGTTGGTATTGTTGATCAATGTGATAAAGGATAGAGAGTTTGTAGTATTGAAAATTAATTTATTGAGTAGGCCTACGGAAAAGAGTGTTCCATTTGTATGTTTTTGAAGTTATACGCGCGTTCGACATTGGAAATTTGCACGCGAGTGAATCGGTGAAATCATTACATATGTAAGATATCAGTAAGAGAGAGAGAGAGGCAGAATATATATTTTCTTTGTCTTTCTCTCTCGAGAATAAAAATGTTCCTTTTGTATGTATATTTAATATTATATATATATATATATATATATATATATATATATATATATATATATATATATATATATATATATTATTATTATTTCTGTGATATGTTTTGTATTATTTATTAAATGTTCATAATTATTATACGCTTTTGTATTTCAAAATAATAATTACAATCAATCACTGTATGACCGAGAACTGCTTATTTTGAAATACGTTAGTCATGTTTAATTGGCAAATTTTTTACGTGTTTGGTTCATACGCTGGTATATGTGAGTTCGAATCTAAATATGAATTTCCTTTTTTATTTTTGAAAAATTAAAAAACCCAACGTTACTCTTATTAAATATATGTAATAAACGCAAAAATTCTAAATTTTAAAATAAAATGAAAATTTATAACATAATTTGAGTTGTTGGTTTTTTATTTTTATCTAGTACAAACATTTTTTGAAGTTATACTTCTATACGCGCGTTTGACGTTAAAAATTTGTACGGAAGTGAATCGGCAAACTTATTACATATGTAAGATATAGGTAAGAGAGAGACAGAAGATTTATTTTCTCTTTTTTTTTCTCTGTCGAGAATAAAAATGTTTCGTTTGTAAATATATTTAATATTTATTAATATTATTATTTTTTTATTAATATTATTATCAAGGTAAATTAAACATATGCGTAAGTAAATTATGTATATTGTCATTTTTAAATACTTATAAATATTGCATTTTAATTTGTATTGTATTATTATATTGATTTATATTGCAATGTATTATATTGCATTTTTATATTAATAATATAATAAACTAAATAATGAATTTTACTGCAGAGTATGTGTAAACATTTTTTTGCATTCAATTCCTTTTATACATATATGAAAATAAAAATATATATTTTTATTAAAATATTGATTCAGTCCTTCATTTACTATACTTCTATTACAGATCAATTGTTTACATACAGCAAACGATGCACCATATACCTATATACCTAATTATTTTTCTCTTTCTGCTCTCACCTATAGCATTACATTATGTAATTATTGCGCAGATTGACTACCATATAAATTTGTAATGGCGAACGCGTGTATATTAAGTAGTAACTTCTACCGGCAGTTCCACTGGACTGCCACACCCGTTTTTTTAGTCTCTTTAAACGATGTCTATATGTTGGATGAGATATTTTATTTACTCTGCTAGTCCCAAAATTAAGTTTATTTTCATTTTTGTAGAATGTTTCGAATAGTAATTTATAAATCTATAGCTACAAATAGGTTTTTGATACCATTCTGTTTTAATACTATTGTCATGTGTGCGATATACAATCATTGCCACAAACACAATTACCAAATTGAGACATTTGCAAAAATATGGCAAATCTATAGTACACTTTAATGCAAAATATATCCTTATTTTCATAAGAAACAGTTTCTTCGTTTATTTATCGTCCACACGGAAACGCAACCGTAAGGAAATTTCATTAATTCAACAATTAATGTCAGGTACATTAGTTTTGATATTCCGCATTACATAAATATACCTTCACAGAGCATGTTCGATTGATTTCATGAGAATTTCTAGATTCTGTAATAACGGTTAAAAGTGTGTCTGTGAATCCCACATTTATTTAAGTATAATATATTGTTATGGATCAGTTTATCGATCAGAAATAGAATAAAGAGTTTTTTATTATTTTAATATACCGCGGGCATATAAGTTAAAATACAACCCTGTACTTATTTGTAATAGTTAAAATAAGAGAAAACATTGTTCCGTGACGGGACCCTAACGAGTTTTTCCGTGAAAGACTGAGTGAATAGTGAAAGAAAAATGGAGCCCGTATAATTATAGATTTAGGAATAAACTTGTAATTGTATTTTGCGGTGGGCATTTTTCGAAAGTAAATAAGAATTAGATTTAGATAAGAGATAACAAGAATTTGGAAACTTATTTCTGTTGAAAAAGGCAAAATTGTTAATGGTTTCTGAAAAGTAATTTGAGTGAAAGTAGTTTATTTGTTTTAAATATCACGTTGGAACTTTTCTAAATTGAAAATAAGTGGGAAAGATGAATGCTTATTATTGTTTAAAAAACAATGGTGGGAATGAGAGAGTTGAGAAGGTTGTCTGGGAGAGATTAAAAGATTATTATGTTACCGGCAGACCAGAGGATAAGACATGTTTTCGTGTAGTCAATCTGAGTACCAGTGTTTTCGTTTGTTAGTGAAAAAGGTGGAAGTTGAGAGCAGATCAAAATCGAGAAGATTAATACCTCTTTGAGTCTGCATAGTCCACGAGATATAATTGAGAAAGAAAGGAGAATTTGTGAATAAAGAGTACCGGTAAAAAGAGACTTGGGCTTGTGTTTTCGGAGGAGTAGTTTGCTGGTATGCGGTTTGGATCGATGCTGAGAACGGGAAAGATTTGATGATAGCCGGACATAATCAATCAAGGAAGGAACTGTGGTTTGATCGAGAGGAGACATCATTGGTGTAAAAATAAAGGTCAGTCAAATAATTTGAATAAATGAAAATTTTAAGATATTCTAAAGATAAAATCAAATATAAGCATACGAACTAAGATTCCAAGTTTCAAAGAGTTATTTTTTTTTTGTGAATAAATTATATTTTTATATGGTCATTTTTTTTAGTAGATATTATTATAAAACAGATCAATAGATAGTTTGTAATTAAAATTAAATTTAGAGTATAGGAATTTGTTGAGAAAGATAATTGCCCACAAAAGTTATTTATTAATATTCATCGTATTGCTTATTGAAAATAAATAATAATTTGTGTGCATATTTATGTTGTTTTAATGTTAGTTCCGTTTCCTGTTCTATTCCGATTATGAGCAACTAGGAGATACTGAACCCACTAGAAGAGATATATAAAGTAAACTGATTAAAGTAATAATTAACAAAAAAAAGGCACCCTGAGAATTTTTAATAGTAATTGAATTGTATGACTCATAATGATTGCATAAATTAGTGAGTTAATTAATTAAATAATTGGATTAATTAAATTAGTGTTAATTAATAATAAAACATCATGAAGCAGATCACAACAATATCCATAAATCACTGTGGGAATTTCACAATATTTATTTACTTAAAATTTCATATTGTCCTCGATATTTCATAATTAAAAAATATAAAATAATAATTTATTTTTTTATTTATAAAATAATATTAATTAAAAAAATTCACATGTTTCTTTACATTTTATTAATAAGAATGTAAATCAATGATATTAAACCTAACATAAAATAACCAAACCTAACCAAATCTAACCTAACCAGCTCACATTTTTTTTATTGAGTTAATGCCTCGACAGCTATGATCATTGGCATGGTACAGTCAGGTACCTAGTGTAGTGTGTGTGTATGTGTAGAGTAATTGTCTTGATACTTAGCAAAGTCGACGTCATTGTCTTTGCTAAGAGACGCTAATTGTATCCGAACGTCTGCGGTCCCTCCGGTGAGTACCGATTCCACATGAATAGAAATTATTTTCATTAATTAATTTTAGATAAACAAAAATTTCTCTACCCAGATGGGATTCGAACTCACGACCTTTAGGTTTAAAGGTAGGCGCTCTTACCACTGAGCCACAGAGGGGGTTATAATTTTTTTTAAACTTCATATTTTTCTTTACATGTTATTATAAAAATTACCCTTCTTGACAATAAGAAACAATAAGAAACAGTTGTCATTCTTATCATTTCATGTTGTTTCATGTTAAATAATGGCGGATACTAGCGGTGGCTTTTAAAAATAAGACCTATTTTAAATGGAAATTAAACAAAAAACAACGTTTTCAGAGAATCAAAATCATAGTACAATCATCAGTAAGCAAAGCAGAATTCATTGACATAAATTTCATCTCCGTAGACATCGTTCCGTCTTACTACACAAGTACCAAAAATTCATTAGATTTCTACAAAAATGAAAGATCTGACAACAATGGAAATAACAGCATAATATCGGCCGCATCACAATATCCCCACACACTAAAATTTATAAAAAACCGTGCAAACCATTTTTAACATAATTGAGGCGTTCAATATATAAAACACACTCTGTATGTTTAATAGAACATATGTGGTACTATAAAGTAAAAATCTGAGTTTTAAATGCCTAATCTTTTAATCTTTTTTTTTTGTAATTATTCTCTTTAATTAAGAACCAAAAGCGTACCCACTTTGCATTGTTTTCGATCGATAATCTACAAGATATTCTGTTTTTTTTAGAGTTTGTCAAAAAAGTTATTCAGCTCTACGAAACTACTATCGTGCGTCACGGATTGATGTTAGTTGGACCGACTGGGTCAGGAAAAACAAAGGTAAGTGATTTTATGACTAAACTTTGTTTTTAAATAAATGCAAATATAGTTAAGTAACTGAAATATGTAATTTACGAACCGTTTTACTTGAGAAAATAAAAGTATGAGTTAAAAACGTGACAAATATTTATGATTTTTTTGCCATATGTAATGCAATTGCCAACTAAAAACGTTGCATGTATATGTATGAGTATGTGTGAGTGTTCAATCACAAATTAATCCCTTAATTTGTAATCTCACATTATTCTTAACTTCTTAATGTTTTATAGTTTCACCGTGTATAAGTGAGACATATCGTGTCTCATGTATCGAGTGTAAAACTATATCGTATATTTTAATAATTAGTTTATTTACCTACAACTAAATAAATTGCCGAATAATATATTTTCTAATTGAACTTCCTAAGGGCCGGTTCTACATTCCAGGTATAAATTGGAGAATAGTTATTCTAAGTATAACTTATACTTGAGTTTATTTCAAGTATAACCTTTCGAGCGTTCTACATTGTGAAATCGACAGCGGAATAGTTATTCCGGGTATAACCACAGAACACTAAGGTAAAACGAAATAGTAGATCTGATGTCTTCAAAATTAGTTCAAATTGTTATTGACAGCGACATTTGGCATTTGTCATAACTGTAAAATTTGTTTACAATTGAAAGGAATTGAATAATTGATTCGCTTTATCTGGTATTTTATCTACGTTTATATTATTATACTTTTCAAAATTAATATAAAATGGATAAAAAAAGATGTAAAATTTCCTTCTTAAATGTTTTATTATCATCAACTAAGATTAGTGTTATAATATAATAACCAAAATTATGTAAATATATCTATATAGGTATACTCCACATTTTAAAAAAGTATAAATATTGGATTACAAAATAAATAATTTTAGTTAAAGAAATGTTTATATAATACAGATTCTAGAATTACAGTCTCTGTTATCAAAACATTAAAAAATATATTGCCTTGGTAAGATTATACCTATACTAGGTATACTAGTCATATGTGTAGACGTTATTACATTACATACATATCCTAAAATTTTAGAATTGAAATAATAAATGGTTTCTTTTTCCTTTGGATTGCCTAATAAAATTTCCTTTGGATTTACAATCTAAAATGTTTGTGCAATATCAAAAATTTTATTTTATATATAAAAACAAACAAAGTGACGTTAAAATATTACAGATTTGACAACCCCTGACCGACCAATAGAAATGCAGTATAAATTTATACTCGGTATATCTGCTAAACTTTGGAGGGATAAAGTTATTCTACAGATATACTCCGATTATCTTATTCCTAGTTTATTCTTTGTTTGTAGAAAACCATTAATGAAGTTATTCCAAGTATATCTTTATTCTCAGTATATACTAGCATTGTAGAACCGGCCCTAAGTGTCGCAATTAAAGCCTAGATTAAATTATAATATAAGCTAATAGTTCAAAGTTTGTTGTTATGACATGATCGAAGCAATAACCTCTGTGCTAAGGTATGAATTATTTGTAAGATAATAAATTGGGCATTTGAGCTCATGTGAGCACAGTTTATTATAAGTAGTTACCTAACTAACATCATATTATGTAATTACCAGTAGCTGTCAATAAAATCAACATTTTTCTGCATAACTTCAACATTTTATTATATTTATCATTGTCCATCGACAAGAAGCGGACAAAGGGGCTTTATAAAACGATTCGAACCTCATAACTACGTTCGAACCTTTTAATTGGTCCTTCGAGCCGGATGTGTGAATTCACATATGCCTCTGTACATGAATGCATAAACTGCGAATTTTCTTTTGTTTGACAGCGCGTGCGCCTGCGTTAATGATCTTGCTCGATTTGGATCAGTCTCTTTGGCTGCCAGTCCACATTATACCAACGGCAAGCGTTGTTAGCGCTGCCGGTCGTGTTAATACCGAGCAGTTCACGCGATTCGCATAGCGCATCGGTGCTATGGAGTTTTATCGCCATAACAACATCCATATGTACACCTTATCCCCAAAGAACAGGAAATTGAAATCGTATTTAACTGAAAGTACCATATAGGGATTTTAAACTATAGAACAAAAGCAGTTTCCCAAAAACTATGGGTGATACAAAAAAGCTAAGACCAGATTTGGTTTTAGCCTATAAAAATCATCTATTGAAGTCAAAAACGCATTCAACCAAAATTATTTTGTCTGCCTGTGCTATTATTTCGTATAATATACTTACGCGTCAAAAACGCTTAAATAAAAAAATGGACTACCTTACTCTAAACTCCAACACATGTGACGAAGTTTCGAAATGAAACTACAGCAAATATTGACAAATATCTCAGTTTAATAAATAAACAACCAATTTCATTTCAACGGTTTTACCGATATATTTTTCAGTGGAACAATTCTACAAAGATTAAAAAAAGCGTAATTAACCATCAGGATCAACACAAACACCTTTTTCGACAGATAGACATTAAAAAAAATTATTTTGTAATAATCTAATCAACGTGGCTGACAAACGGAAAAATGCAATTAACTGTTCAATTTTACTATTTCATTTTCAAGGAATAAAAAATCTGAAATAATATCATTGAAGGGTACTGTAGATACAGTGCTACACATATAAGCTGAACACTTTTTTGAGAAACTAGAACTTTTTAAGAATGAAAATACGTAAATAAAATAAGAAAAACATTAAATCGTCTGTATACTGCGAAAACCAGGTAAATGTCTGAATACTCAAATCGAGAAAAAACGTTTTTAAACTTTAGTTTTTTATTGTGAATTAAGATGTCAGATTATTTTTGATATTAGGTATTCTAGTGAAAGATGCATATATCTGAAATTATGTTCGATTAGTTTGAAAAAGTTGAGACACCTATTTGACTAATCCTAAATTTAAGTTGGAAATGCTATCACTTACCTGGTTTTACCTGTAAATCTAAATAAATCAGTTACTTTTCAAATAATATATTTAACACAAATATTATAAACCAAGTATAATATTTTCCAGTTTTGTGATCGAGATATAAGGCTTTTACTAGGTAGTAGCAATGTTTTGAGGTTGTTTAGTGGGTCAGTTTTCAATTAAAGTTGACTAATCTACAAATTCATCTAAACGGTAGCGACAACCATGTAAAATTTCATTAGTAAATTCTTACCTGGGTCACTTTTATTCAGTATGCTTCGCCCATGTAAATAACCGAAAAAGTAAGATAAATTCGCCCCCGTAACGATAAAAATTGGTGCGATTCACGAGTGTATAGTGAGACAAGTTCATTGAATAGTTTGAAATATTACCTTATCAATATTTTGCTGGTCTATATATATTTACGATCTTAAAAAGAATATTAATGAGAGAAATACGATATCTTAGTTTATTCCCTCGAGATTATATACATATGTTGAAAGGCGTAGTGTGTTATTAGGAATATATTTATTAAATAGACTTTATTATTAACTTTAAAATTTCAAATTTAATTGTCAAAGAGAAATTTGACAATTAATTTATTAGATTGGATTAAAAACACATAAATTAGGACTAATTTACAACCAAAAAGATTTTTTTCCTCATTTTAAAGGAAAACATTACAGTTTTTAATAAAGGAACATATTGTACCTTAAATGTAAATTAAATTTTAAGGTGAAAATTTCTGGAATGCATAAATATTTGTAAAATATAGAATGCTCTCAATTACTTTTTTATAAAAAATAGTGAAAAAAACTGACAACAAAGCTTAAAAGCAATTAAAGCGACGGGTTCTCTTAATGACACAATCTGGAAGAACAAACACCTAAGACAAGACGCAAAAACAAGAATCTATAAAGCAGTAATTAGACCTTTATTAACATACACGGCGAAGACAAGACCGAGATAGCACGAGATAAGTCGCCAAATGGACTAAGAAGTATTGGCAGACGAAAAAAAAGATGGAGCGACAATTTAAACAATTAAGGATGCTAATGTTGAAGAAGAAACAGGCTTTAAAGCCTACTTACATTTAAGTTGTTTTCTCTAAAAATTTTATTAACAGCTGTTTGTAGTTATAGTTATTATTTATATGACTGATAGGCAGTTTTATAAAAAAAACAAATTTATTTCAAATATAATAATAACAATATTATTATTATGAAGCTTCCTCGTCCGATTCGTCACTGAAAGCAGGTTCTGGCAAGATGTCTGTTACATCATTTCCGGTTTTCAAATTACGATACCAGCCGTAATATTCCTCCGGTATCACCCCCTTATCAAATAGTTGTACAAAATCTCTCTTTTTTACTATGCTAATTGGCAAATGTGCATCATAAAGTTGCTTAAGTTCTTTAAGATTGCTTGTATTAGTTGATAACTGGGAATGCTTTTTTCTTGTTGACTGCCGTGCAGTATTAGTAAGGAAATAATTGAAGCTTGTTAACATGTCATAATTAAAATAGATTTTGTTTGTCTCTCCTTTCACGAATATCATTCTTTTTATCTTCAACCACGTTTTTGTGGTTGCTACACAAAAACTAAAAAGGGAGATACATAATATAAAAAATTCAACAATTAATTCTTTTTTAAGTTATTTAACAGCTGACCAGAACACAGAATATTCTTTATGGAAGGCAACAAAAAGAATGAAGAGACCGATTATTCATTCTCGTTCTATCAAGTTGGAAAACGGCAACTGAGCTAGAAGTAACGAACAGAAAGCAGAACAATTTGCAGAACATTTAGAAAGCACGTTCAAACCCAACGACAATGATGGTGAAGAACTAATATGGGAAGAACCATTCCAAACTGAAGAAAGAATAACGTTAACATCACTTAGAGAAGTATCAACAGAGATAAAAGAGAATATAAATCCTAAAAAAGCTCTAGGATATGATCTCATAACAGGCGAATTATTAAAAAATCTACCAAGAAAAGCCATAGTTAAGCTGACACACCTAATAAATGCTGCTTTTAGATTGAGATATGTTCCCAGACTCTGGAAAGTAGCCGAAGTAATTATGATCGCCAAAC